AGTCTTAGAGTTCTATTTTCTTCTCTTCCAGTAGGTGGAGCTGTGCCCTCTGAGCTGAGCTTCTGCCCTCAATATGCAGGAAACAATCCCTGTGAGGCTGCTCCTCTTCCCAACTGGACGGCTCTCCAATCCTGGTAGCCCAGGGCCCTATCTCGTCTCCAACCCCCCCCCCCCCCCCCCCCCCCCCCCCCCCGCCCCCACCCCGCCCGCCACCTTTTCCCTAATTTCTGTGATTCCCTAAGGGAACTCTTAAGTGCCAGGGGTAGGTGTGAAGTGCGCCACCATTTTCATTTCTTGTTCTTTTTGAGGATTTTTACTGTATTTAGAATCCGGCTTCCATAGGTCACAGGGAGATAAATACAATAAAACCTCTTTGATGTTGCAGAAAGTCTAAAACACAGAGAAGCGTCTCTTGTTGAGTGCTTTACCTTCCAGTGCAGCCTCCAGATCAGCCTCCTTCTGACTTGAGACTCCTCCCTGCCGTGGGGTCCTCTTCTACACTTTAACAAGTGCACACTTTGTCCCTTAGGAATGCTCAGAATATGATAACCACAAAAACCAGAATTGGCTCATGAATTTTAAAATAATACTGCTTCTGATAATGTATGTCCATTGTGAGCTCCTTTAAAAATTCAGGACTGTACAAAGAATTTCTTACCTACGTTTCCTTCAGGGACAGCCCTTGTTCAGATTCTAACTTTTTTCTGTCTAGACAAAGATCCTGTAGTTAAGTACCTACTCCAGCAGATACAAGCATTCTTTGAGATCATAATGAAAGTGCTATTATTTAATGTGTCTGAAGTATTTCCCTATGTTGTTAAACATCTTCTAACATCTTTAACAACTGCAAAGCGTGCCGTTTATGAGGACAAACTGTATTGACCAACATTTCTCTGCGGTTGTGCAACATTTGTTTTATCCTATAAACATTTTTTCACTTTTCACATTTTTCTCAGATGGCTAGAATGTCTAGATCAAAGGATTCTGTGTTTCACAGTGTTTCATAAAAACGTGATCGTAAAGCAGTGGCCGTGGTGGGACGGTCATCATGTCCCCGAGGTGGTGCCAGACGGCATCACTGAGTGCTTGGGGCGCGGTCTCCCTGCCGCCAGACCTGCCAGCTGACGACACCTGTGCTTTTTCTCTAACGGACCCTCACCCAGGACCCAGAGATGCAGTGCCTACTGCTGGCTGACGGGAAGAGTTCCATCTGCCCGAGCCACGTCGTCGTCCTGCCAGGGGACAGCGGGAACAGCATGACCGCCATCAGCTTCACGGGGGCCTTGAGAATCCCGGTAAGTGCCTGCGGGATGCTGGCTGAGAGGGCGGGTGCCAGGTGGGGGTGGCTGCAGGAGTGCCTAGTTACGTGCTGCTATTTCCATTTGTTGAAATTAGCTATTCCACTCGGAAAGTCGGGGATTTCCTAGACAAGGGGGACTGCCGGTCTTCACTTGGACAACAGATTCTGGCTGCCCCTGAGGCCCCTCTCCCCCTGGCCCCGGCCAGTCCTGGGGCTCTGACCTTCCTCCCGGGGACCTCAGTGTGACCCGGGGAGGGACCTCACCGATGCCTGGTCCGTGACGCCAGGCGGCTCCAGCTCCGCCTCCTCCCCCTCTGAAGTGCCTCAGCTGCACCAGCAGCGCGGGCCCTGGGTGCCAGCAGGAGGAGGCGGAGCCGGGGTGTGGAGGCCGAGGAGAGGCAGAGAGAGCCTGAGAGAGGAGCCCCGGGCCTCAGTGTCTGGACGTGGTCCTGGTCTACAGATGTCCTTGGGTTGGCCCTGGGGCGGCTGTCCGTGGTGGCAGCGTCCTGTGGTGGCAGTCTGCCTGCATGGGGGACTCCAGGACAAGGCTGTGCAAGCAGGTGGAGGGAGGGGCACAGTGGCAACAGCTCTTGGTGTGGTCCCATTTCTCCTGTTCAGTTCACGGGCTCGCTCAGCCGTGGGGACAGGGAAGGCAGCGTCCCTCCCAGGGCCAGAGGCCACACAGGCCAAGGCCAAGAGCAGAAGCAGGGGACACGGCAGCACCCGCCCCGGGGCCGCGTTGCCAAAGCCCGGCCGGCCCTCACCACGCAGCCAGAGCATGTGGCCCCACTCAGAGGGACAGGGAGGAGCCGGGGATGGGAACGGTGTGACCCAGAACTGAGAATAAGTCAAGAGAATTAAAGGACAAGAACTGCGGCTTCAGGACAGAGGGTGCCACCAGCCCCAGGAAACTGGGTCCGCAGCAGTGAACCTGGGGCGGCCTCTGGCCAGTGGGAAACACCCGGGCTCAGGCCTGGCCACCTGATCATGGGAAGGCCTCTGCCGCAGCCCGTGGAGATGGGACTTATGTGAAATCAGGTTTAAGACTGTGTTAGTAACAGCCGGAAGGTTCTCGGTGCCTGACCGTGTGCCACCGCTAACACTGATGCCCGACACGGGGTCCGGGGGCCGGCCCAGCCCTCGGCCACTGCTGCCCGGCTCTGTGGCCCTGCCACCCTTTGAGCCTCCTCTTCCCACCTGCAGTGATCTGAGGAACAAGGGAGATGGTTCAGTTGTAACACTGAGCAGTGCGCCAGGCACCAGGTCAGGACGCAGGGGACACCGCGTCCTCACAGAGGACATGCCTCACCCAGCGTGCCCGAGGAGCCACCCCGCTGGCTAGAGGGGTGGAGGGGTGGAGTGGCGATGGGTGTCGGCGTGCGCAGACATCACGGCAGTCAGCACCAAAGCATCTCTGGGATTCTCACGTGTTCCAAGTGGGATCTGCAGCCACTGTGTCACAGGTGCCACCACTGTGTCACGGGCCCCCAGAACCCACCCAACTCCAAGCCTCAGTGCCCTGGCCGCTGCCCTGCGTCTTCCACAGCATCCACGGTTTGTGCTGTGAGCAGCAGATGCCGTAGCCTGGAGCCAGGGGGGCTGTCCGGTGTGTCCTGGCTGCCGTCATTCACAGTGACTTCAGGGAAGACGCAGCCATTAAATGCTCAAAAGCAGGTGGATGGCCCAGGCTGTGCCCCGTGAGACTCCTGTACTCCTGAGTGCGCCAGGCGGTGTGGAATGCGTACAGCAGGGTGCAGGCCATCCACCCACTCTGCCGTGAAGACGGCCCTCCCCTTGACAGGCAGCTGGGCTCCCTCGGCACTGGTGGCCCTGCGGGGTGGGTGGCCCTCTCCCAGGAGGCACCAGGGTTCCCAGGCATGGAGCGGCTCTTCCTCGGTTGCCTGTGACAGTCCTGCTCTGAGTCTGCCTGTGGGCTCACCAGCTTGCTCTCTTGCAGGGGGTGATCGAGTTCTCTCTGTGCTTGCTCTTCGCCAAGCTGGTCAGCTACACTTTCCTCTTTTGGCTCCCGCTGTACATCACCAGCGTGGGTGAGTATGCAGTCCACTCCAGGCACTGACAGCTTGGAACCCCCGAAGTGGTGCCTGGAGCATGGCCGTGCACCATGACCCCAGGGCCAACGCGGCGACAGGCAGCCCAGCCGGAGGGAACTTGAGATCAAGTTCTGTTGTCCTACTAATGACCTTCCTGGGGTTTAAAGGTTGAGTGTTCTGTTCTCCTAATTCCATGGGGTGCTTCCTATTCTGGGCATTGAAATCTGGGCCACGTTGGACTTTGGAGCCAGTGGGCCATGAGGGATCCAGATAATAAGCCCTTCATAGTCTGGCCTGGAAATTGCCTCTGGGAGGTGCATTCTGATTCGAGGGCAGACTGACCGTGTTGTGTCTCTGGAGCCCAGCAGTGGCTGAAGCCGTGGGCTATGACAGAACCTCCCCGGAGTGCCACTCGCGCCCCATGTAGACAGCAGGATGACAAGGGGGCCTCAGCAGCCCAGGAGAGGGCCTGTGGAGGAGGTGGAGCCCTGTGGACGGGTGGGGTGTCTCTGCAGCACCCCACGCCCCCGTCCCAGAGGGCCTGGGGGAGAAGAAGGAGAAGCCACTGGGGGAGAGGCAGTCTTGGAGGAGCCGGGGTGGGGAGCCTGAGGATGTGGGAGGCTGGAGGGAGCAGAGCAGGGGCAGGTGGTGTCCGAGGGGAGAGGTTGGAGAGCCTGAGGTTCTGGGGCCAGTCGGTGTGAGGGGAGCTCAGGGTCAGGGAGGATCCGTCCATCGCACTCCTAGAAGGACCAGCCTGCAGGGTGGCGGACAGAGGGTGGGTGCAGGCTGCACGGAGCTCCCTGAGGCTCCCTCCATGATGACCCCCTCGTTCCAACAGGAGCACAGCACAGGCCCAAGGACAGGCCCTTGACGGGAGGCCATGCACTCTCTTTCTCCTTATTCCCATGTGACAGCACAGGGTGACACTTTTAAGACTCAGATCTCACACTGCTGGCCTGGCCAGTTTGAGTGACTCATAAAAGCTAAGTTCCCTGCATGTGACAGCAGGACTTGCCCATGCTGCCCAGCCTCCTTGAGCACAGAGCTGTGGGGTCCAGAGGAGACCCTGAGGCCTCTTTCCTGCTCTGGGGCCCAGAAGGCCTGGTCCCTGCCGTGTACCGGGCATGCATTGCAACACTCCTGTTGGGCCCGAGGCACAGGCCAGCTTCCCAGGCTCTCCTGTCCTGAGTCGATGGCCCTTTGTGCCCCCCTGCACTGCCAACTGGGGGCAGGTGGTCACAAGGCCGGACCGGCCACTCTGGGCTTGGGCTGGCCACTCTGAGCTTGGGCTAGGAGTATCGTCAGCCGCTGTATGGCTTTTGTGTTCTTTTTAAATGGAGGTAAATTGCTCCTTGACGTAAGTGGCACTTGGGGGCAGGTTCCCATGGGGCTCCTCTGGAGCTCACAGTCCACTCGTTTTAACAGACCACCTCGATGCCAAGAAAGCCGGCGAGCTCTCCACCTTGTTCGACGTGGGCGGGATCTTCGGTGAGTTCGTGGCCAGCTTTCTCTCTGGGAGTATTCAGCCTTGCTGTTCACACCCATGAGTCAGTTTGCTGCTGGGAGGGATCTGTGGACCCGAGTGAGCTCAGCCATCACTCTGGGGGACCTCCATCTTCCAGGCCCTGCCTCTGTCCCTCAACAAGCTGCCCTCAGAAATGACAGCCCCGGGCACGTGACGAGAGGCAGTATTTGTACCCTAGCAAGTGAAGGGGCTTCCTGGTTGGCCTAAAAACCTCAACCCGGATCCCAGGGTTCCTCCAGGGCTCCATGGAACCACACCAGGCGAGGCCTGTAGGGGCACGGACCCCTGGAGGCCACCTGTGGCCGAGGAGCACAGAGCCAGGGGGAGACCGTTCTGGCTCCCGCCATTCCCTTCCCTCCGGAGCAGCCCAGGCCTGGGCGTTGGCCCCTAAGCCGTCCCTGTCTGTGGCAGGTGGGATTCTGGCGGGTGTCATCTCGGACCGGCTGGAGAAGCGGGCCTCCACCTGCGGCCTGATGCTGCTGCTCGCGGCCCCCACGGTAAGGCCCCGCTTCCCTCCCGCCAGCCTCCCGTGGCGGCACAGCGCTCCCCTCTTGCCGAGGTCTCGTACTGACTGCTGTCTTGGGGTCCCTCCCCCCCGCCCTTGCTGTCCCTTTCCCAAGACAAGCTTCCTCCAGCCCTCGAGGACCAGGGCCTTCCCAAACCCCAGGCTTGGTGGCCCCATCACACCGGTCTCGTTCTGCTCCTTAGGTCCTTAGTTGCTCATGACCTTGAGCAGATGACCTCTCTCTGTGCCTCAGTTTCCTCATCTGAAAACCAGGGTGACGATGGCACTGCCTCTCAGTGAAGTACTGGCCTGTCATTGCTGTCTTCTGATGTCTTAGAGGCCACTCTGTCACCACCTTGCAGTCTAGCCATTTGTCCACCTGCCTTTCCACTGTCCCCCAAATAAGGCCTAGTTCTCAGCCAACCTGGGGCCATGGACATTCCAGGAGTATTCAGGTGTCCCTGCCATCCCTGGGTGCAGCTGCTCAGGTGGGCAGCCCCAGTCAGCAGTTAAGACCTTCCATCCGGGAGCTCAGAGGAAGCTACCCAGTGTGGCCATCAGAGCCCACCCTGCAGGTGACCCCGGGACCCCAGAGCCTGGTCCAGAACCCACACACCTGGGGTGGGCTGGCGCCGCGATCCCAGGGACCCCACTCTTGGGGTGCTGGCTTTAGGACACAGGGACCTGCGTGCCCTGCGGCGCTCCCAGTAAGCCCCATTTCCCGTCCCCTCCCCGTCCAGCTCTACGTCTTCTCCTCCGTCAGCAAGATGGGCCTGGAGGCCACCGTAGGTGAGTGAGCCCTTGCTGCTCTTCTTTCCTCCACATGCACCTTTGACCCCACAACTTGGGGGACAGAAACCCAGGAGCTTCGGGCTGGTGTAACTGGAGCACATGGTGTGGCTAATAGGCCTGCGTCCCCATGGGGTGAGACCCGGGACTCCTGCCCCCAGGGTGGTAGGCCTGGCGTCGGCAGGTGTGAGTGGGGGGAGAGCTCGGGGCAGCAGTGGGAGGGAGCCAGCTGTGAGGGGCAGCAGTGGGAGGGAGCCAGCCTGTGAGGGGCAGCAGTGGGACGGAGCCAGCCTGTGAGGGTCAGCAGTGGGGGAGGGAGCCAGCCTGTGAGGGTCAGCAGTGGGAGGGAGCCAGCTGTGAGGGTCAGCAGTGGGATGGAGCCAGCTGTGAGGGGCAGCAGTGGGAGGGAGCCAGCCTGTGAGGGGCAGCAGTGGGACGGAGCCAGCCTGTGAGGGTCAGCAGTGGGGCGGAGCCAGCCTGTGAGGGTCAGCCCGGCGCGCTCTTGGGCTGTGGCAAGAGGCCAGGCAGTGGGTGTGCTCAGCCTGGGGACAGGGCAGGCCCTTCCACTAGCCTTCCAGCTGGCCTCTCAGCCCCCACCCAGAGCAGCAGCATGAAGTCAGAGGACTGTTGGACTTCCTGCCAGCAGCACCCGCAAGTTATTCCCTGGCCCTTGGGAGACGTGCTGACAAGTCTGCAGTGGGGCTGGGGGGACGCGGGGTGTGTGCAACCCCCTTCAGAGTCACCCAGAATGCCCGCTCTCCTGTGCGCCAGAGCCTGGCTTGGGAACGTGGGCCTGTGGCAGTTCAGGGCAGACCTTGTGGCTCGTGGAGTGGCACATAGGTCTGGCGAGTGCACAGCCTTGTGGTGAGAGGACACCCTACAGCCAAAGCTGTCCTGGGTGCAGCCTCGCCTGGCACAGACCCCACGTGGCCTGGGCTCGGCCTCCAGGGCCTCACTCCTCACACTGCCAACAGCTGCTGCCCGCGGGGAGTGGGACCCCAAGCCCCAGGTCCCCTGAAGAGGAGCCAGATCTTTGGGGACTTAGCAGATGTACCTCTGGGCACGGGCAGAGGGGGCCATTCAGCTGCAGGCCTGGAGGCACCCCGGACCAAACAGCCCCCCCCACCCTCTGACACTCGAGGAAAGTGTCCCGCAGGTCACCGGGCTGCGCTGGCTCTGCCCAGGGACTCCATTCTCCTCTGAGTCCCCCTCTGCTCCCCACAGCCATGCTGCTCCTCAGCGGGGCCCTGGTCAGCGGGCCCTACGCACTCATCACCACTGCCGTCTCCGCCGACCTGGTGAGTGGCCCTGCACCCCTCCACAGAGGACAGCGCTCTGCACCAGAGCAGGGGTCGATTGCCACCTGTGTGCGGGGGTGCTGCCTGTGCACTAGAGAGTCCCTGCTGCTGGCCCTCTGCCACCCTCCCCCTGGGTCCCGGGCAGGATGCCCAGGAGATCCCCCATTTGGAGCCATGAAAAGCCCCAGGAGCTTTTTGCTCCCCAGAGAAGTGGAAGGGCCTGTCCCGATGAGTCAGCAGAGAGAGCAGCGCAGCGGACAGGGAGGCCTGGGCTTTGTCCTCTTCACCCTGTCAGTGTCCCCCCGGGGCCAGCCTGCCCTGGCCACCTCATGTTAAGTGTGTCGACAAAGCTGCTCGTGTGAAGCCTGTTCTTGGATGTGCATAGCCTGCAGGCTCACATCTGTGGGTGTGGAAGATTCTGGAAGGATCCACACCAGATCTCGAGCACTGGTCACCCACGCAGGACAGTGGCCGAGGAGGGACCTGGACTGCTTTTCTTAGACCAAAACAGCGGGTGCCTGGCCGCGGGTGCTTTCCTTCCCCGCAGGGCGCACGTCCCCTCGGCTCCCTTGTGCTTTCTTAGGTGCTGTTCGTGTCTGTGGCCCGGGGCTCCTGAGCCCTGCTCTTCCTTACTGTCCCCCATGTGTGCTGCATGTGGAGCTGTCAAAAGCCAGAGCTCCTGCCCGACGCCCCATGGGCCTCGCTGGGCCCCAGCTTGGGTCTCTTGACTGTCCTGGTCCCCTCTTCCTGGCCCTCTGCATTGTCACGTTGACTTTAGGCACTGCAGTGACGTCTGGCATGTGTCACAGAACAGCCCTGGCTGTGGAGAGTCTGGGTGTCACAATGATGCTCACGCTAGAGTGGTGGGGGTGGGGGTGTCCCACGTAGCCACGTGGGGCCTCGTGAAGAGGAAGGCCATGATAGCGGATTAGAAGAGCGCCCTGGGGGTCCAGGAGTCGGAGCTGTGGCCGGTATTTCCAGGTCTCCTGTGTCCTGGAGATCCTGACCTGGTTGGCTTCCCAGGGTTGGCGCGGCCGGGAGCATGGGTGTGTGTGTGTGCGCGTGTGTGTGCGCGTGTGCGTGTGAGTGTGTGCGTGTGTGCGCGTGTGCGTGTGCATGTGTGTGCGCGTGTGCGTGTGAGTGTGTGCGTG